GGCTGCCTTCGCAAAGCCAAAATAGCTCAACGCTTCACCCAGCTGTAGTGAGCAAGGAGATTTCCAATCAGTTTCGTCAACATCTCCACTAGCGGCAACGATCCCACCTCCGTAACAGGCAAAAGCAAAACTCACGTGTATGCCTTTCTGGCCTTGGCCAAACCAGTCTTCTTCCTTTCCACAACACGAGGATCCCTGCGGATGATGCCATCTGAAAGCGGAGCGATTGAGCGCAAGAGCAATTGTCAGTTGCTGCTCGACGAGGACGAGAATGCGCAAATTGACGCCACGTGCGCCGTCGCCAGCTCGAATGCGGCTGGACGCAGGCTGGAGAGCTGGCGCGACTAGGGGTACGTTGCTGCTAAGACGCTCAACTCACCTTTGTGAAGCAGCTTGGCCAGATCTTTCACCTTTGTGGCATCTCCCGTCAATCGCGCTTGTTCCTTGTACCACTCTAGTAAGCAATTGGCGATTCCATGAGCTACTGCGCCTGCCTGCCCGGACGATCCACCTCCCCTGCTGATAGCAAAGACATTGAAGGCTCCCAGCGCAGAGGCCAATCGCAAGGGGTAGAGGACGGATTCTCTGTGAATCGGATTGGTGAATATGTGGGATAGCGGTCGATTGTTGATTTGAATCGAGAGCGGGTCCAACGCAGGCTTTGGCGGAGTGGCAGATTGCGCAGAGCCGCTTGCACCAGCAGTCTCTGTCTCCGCCTCTGTCTTGACCGGAATGATCCAGACTCTTGCGCTTGCATCCTTTCTTCTTCCTCGAGCGTAAGCCCTACCCAGTTCGTCCACGTGACTTGAAGCCCGTGTGACCCCCCGCTCATCAAACGCCTCCGCGACAGCAGCCGCCTGGTCCTTCCTGACAAACTTCTGCAGCGTCTTGCCCACCTTGTCGGCCAAGTACTGATGTTCGTGTCCATGCTGACCACTGGCAAAGTGAGACTGCAAGAGCTGAGACCATCTGCCCAGGGTAGCCAGGAGGTCGGTGAGATTCCTATACTCTGAAGCTTTGAGCGGACGAGTGAGCGCATTGCTCAGATCCGTCCTGGTCAACCATCTCGTTCCAGAAGATGGTGGAGGATTCGAATGAGGCTCTACGAGAAAAGTTTGCTGCAAAGCTCTCTTGGATTGTCGAATGAGGTCTTCGAGATTGAGCACCGCATCGATGTACTGCGGTCGACCTGTAAAGTGGGAAGGAGAGACGGGTTTGAGTCTGGCGGGTGGCAAGGTAGCTTCGCGAGGTCCTGGGCGGGCCAGAGAAGCAGGAATGTGTGTGATCTGCCCATCTTCAGACGCTCCCGTTGTGGCGGTGGAGGATGAGGCTGTTGATGCTGCTCGACGAGCGTATGCTACGCTCCGACCTAGCGCGCAAGGACGAGCGACACCCGCTTGTCTGAACACCTGCAGCACCCGAGCGGAATTGCTCATGTTGGCAGAGCACATCGATCGGCAAAGAGGCGATCGGCGTGCGAGCGGTGACAGCGGAATGACGAAGTGAGACTGGCAGGTGAGGGAAAATGTTCAGCCCACAACTCCTCACTCTTTCCCCGTGGAAGGCGCGTCGCGATGTATCGTGAACGTTTGGGAGAAGGTTGAGCGCAGGAGACCGCGCGCCAAGGGTGGCCATCTCGTGCGAGAACCAAATCTTCGTGCGTGCTATCGGAATCACGTGATTGTACTTTTTTTTCCCCCGCCGCCCCGCTGCTTTCGGGCGGTGCAAGCGCTCATGAGACTATTCTGACTCGCGAATAACTTCAGGAGAGGATCACGAACGACCATTTGATAAGGAGCTGCGTCCAAGTCCCTCACTCACACTCGTCAGTGACCCAACAATTCACCACCGCACAACAGCATACAGGCATCTTCTCACCATTTGCAAGCATGACTCTCGCGTGCGCAAGCGTCGAAGCTGGCGACTCGAGCAGCAGAAGCATCAGCATCAGCAACCATCCGCTTCCACCACCACCTGTCCACGTGACTCGACAGTCCATCCCGCCTTCCAGAGCTGACTACACGCCGCCATCGGAGCAGGATGAGATGGATTTGCATTGGATGAGGGAGGCTCTGATCATGGCAGATGAAGCCTTCGATGCGCAGGAAGTGCCCATTGGAAGCATCTTTGTCAGAGAGGGGAAAGTGATTGCGAGAGCTAGGAATCGGACGAACGAGTTGATGAATGTGAGTGCAATAGCAGCCAAGGCAGCAACGCATGACTGGCGACAATACTCAAAATACATTCATGCCGTGCTTGAGCTTCGCTGATCTTCTCCCTGTCTCAACTGGTCATGACAGGCCACCCGGCACGCCGAACTCGAGGCCATCGACTACATTCTCTCACTCTACCCGCCTTCTTCTCCTTCCTTTGCAACGCACCCTCATCGCTCCCTCACTGATAATCCGTTCAAAGAGACGACGCTATACGTGACCGTAGAGCCTTGCATCATGTGTTCAAGTGCGCTCAGACAGGTCGGCATCAAGCGAGTCGTCTTTGGAGCTGGCAATGAGCGATTTGGAGGATGCGGAAGCGTAGTTGGCTGTCACAAGGAGTTAGTTTCAGGAGCCAACTTACACGTCGATAGCGCGGTGACGATCACATGCTAATGACTTTGCGCCCTCGCATCAGCCCTGCACTAGTCAACTCACCGCCATTCGTGGCCGTTGGAGGCTACTACCGCGAAGAAGCCATCATGCTATTGAGGAAATTTTACCTCACCGAGAACGTCAATGGTGAGTCGTGCTGTCATTCGTTGCGCTTGCGCTAAGCGCTGAAGAAATGTATGCGCTGCGTTTGCAGCGCCGAATCCTAAATCGAAAGCCAACCGGATCCTCAAGACGAAATTCCAACGTAAGTCCAGTGCAACAACTTGGCCTTGTCCGTTGCACGAACAAGCAGCTCACATCGACGCTGCGCATTGCCGCCCTCTGTCGTACAGCTCCTGGCGTGTCGATGCACGGTCCTCAAGGTCCTCCAACCAGGCGTGGCATCCAGCGTAATCTGGTGGCTACCAGGTCAGTCTATAACAGCAGCAATGCGAGCTCCACGAGCGAGGATCTCAGGGCGTCAGTGCTTGCGGACGGGGAAGACTCGTCTGTGCACGAGCAGCAGGAGCGTGATGCCGGTTTGATCGATGAAATGCGCACGCGAGAGAAGATCAATGGAACGGATCACACTGTAGCGGATAGGTGAGCGCAAGCGAGCCACAAGAGCATCGGTTCAAATGCGCGAAAGGTAGCAAGGCCAGGCCTGTCACCCTCGCCGGCCCTTCTCGAGACGATGAAACAACCACCATCGTCTTCTTCCGCCTACGTCTGCATTTATTGCATGGTCTTCCCAATCAAGTGGCCATATATCACCACCTTGAGCTCGGTCAGGAGCCACCACACCGAATCGAAAGGGCACCTCGCCGAGGAGGTGTGTGAGCACTATGTGCGCTGCCCACAGCCTGATTATTTCCTTCGGCTTGCCGTGGCCGCAGCTTCTTTCGGCTCAAATACCGCACTGGAAGAGCACGTATGCAGAGCGGCACTCATTCACGCAGATCCCAATAAACGGCCCGCTGCACCTATAGATCACCTCGGCTATTCATCGTTTTCTCAAATCAGCAGGAGGCCCGATGTTCGATTGCGTTCTGTGCGCATCGTCGAACCCGGTGTAAGTGTGTCCCGATGATTGCAACCCCATCTTGACCAATGGTACCGCGAAAGAGATCGCGATGAAACGATCGGATGGAGCAGGCTGATCTCGGCATGCGGAGGTGCAAGAAGCTAGCCCTGGTGATATAATTCACTTTGGCTTCCTCAGCGTTCCTCATTTGTGATCAGCACACACGCCTGCGAATTTTGGAAGTTCCATGGTCGCAGCTTGTTGAGAGGATAGGTTGCTCGCTATGAAGTGCGGTCACTGCCAGCTCTCACGTATGCGACCAAATTCCGCGTTCCAGAATCAGACCGTCCCCACCCCTGCTGCCGTGCACCATATCCTGCATCCTCGACCACAATCTTGACCGCCCTCGCTCTGCTGCCCAACTCATCCTTACGAAGGGGCCGGCGGAACCGATCGGCTGCGCCAGTGCTCGCCTCCTTTGCATGACTGCACCTCTTGCAGGGTGAATCTGCGGTGCTGTCTGCATAGCGACATTTCTTACGCCTGATGCGCGTCTCCAGCTTGCAAGGGTGATATGTCTGTCTTCCTCGACGACATACGTTGTTGGTACCTCTGGTTGGGAACATCATCAATCGCAAGGACGGATGCTTGCGAACGTCATCAATCGCAAGGATGGAGACACGTTTCGAACTCGCGAGAACGCGCATCCCTCATTGGGCATCAATGCCGATCGACAACCATGTTAAGCCACGTCGCGCTCCCGGAAGGAGGGCTGGAAAGCTCACGCCGCAAGCAGAGTCGGTCTCGGTGCAACAAAGTGGCTGTCCAACATTCACTGTTCGCTCGGGGACAGTCTGCACTGTGCGCTGCCAAAGGCACACAAGGCACACATTGGTGGTTGCGACTGCGTAGCCGCGGAGCCGGTACGACAGCTGCATGGTGATGGCGTTCGCGTAGTCGCCGCCCCTCGTCAGCGCGCCGCGGTGACGTAGGATTGCGCGGAGTTTGCGTGCCATCCTTTTCCAGCATGCGCCAGGCCGTTGCAAGGCCAAAGCGATATTTACGCCTACCGAAGTTGCGCGAAACCTTTAGCATCATCCAACACTTACGACCTGAAATCCGGGGCGATATACTGGACGATCCATCGAGTAAGCACGCATTACGTGTGTGAACACCGGTCCGCCGTCGCTATGCAACTTCCGCGCGCAGAAGCGCAACGGAAGAGAAAAACGCCGACTGCGATGCCACCCACGTAACTTACGATCACTGCCGTCGAGCAAGCGACCGTCGATGGAAAGCGTCTCATGTCTTCGTGCACCTTGGTTGACAGTCACTCCGACGCCAATGCGTTCGTACGTGCTCAAGGACACCTCGGTTCAGCAGGCCGGTCGCCCCTGTCGATATTTTTCTTCGGGCATCAGCCACGCGCGGCTGGTGGTGCAGTCGACCTGCGCCCGTCTTCTGCTTGCGATGCTCCCTGAGCATGCAACTAGCGACCACCGCAGCAGTGCTCAGCACGTCCAGGATGCGGACGAGGTATCCGCTGAAGTCGCAAGTGAAAAGGTACAAATACTTGCCCCGACCACCCTCCCTTTTGCTCGTTGTTCGTCATCAGCACCAAGTCGTGCACAACGCTCTCTAGACTCAATACATCGATAGTTCTCGGTCTCTACTCGCCCAACATGAAGCAAGTATCCTCATTCGCAGCCATTGCAGCTGCTCTGACACTCTCTTACGCCTCGTTGACCGAGGCGCTCCCCCAGCCCCAAGGCGCTGACCAGACCACTGCCGCCAGCGGCGCTGATGGCAAGAAGATCTGTGAGCGATACGGCAAGACTACGTGGGGCGACTACACTCTCAACAACAATTTGTGGGGTCAAGATCAAGGCTCAGGTCAACAGTGCACCACCGTTGGCGAACAGAAGAGCAATGCGTGGTCTACCAACTGGAAGTGGGACGGCGACAAGACCAAAGTCAAGTCGTACGCCAACTTGCAAATCATGCCTCAAGGTCTCAAGCTCGCGGACATAGTATCCTTGCAGACATCGTGGGAGTTTGAGACCAAAGCTACTGGCAACTACGACGTCGCCTACGACCTTTTCACCTCTCCCAAAGACGGTGGGCCAGATCAGCAAAATCAAAATGAGATCATGATCTGGCTCGAACGTGCTGGTGGGGCGAATCCCATTGCGTCGTGAGTGTTTGGATAGTCCGTACAAATCCCACACAGTACGACACTGACAGCTAACGCGCGTCATCACTTCTGCAGCGCATACACTGCCGATGGCGCCACTCCGGAAGGCAAGATCGAACTGGCGGGCCAGACGTGGAGCTACTACAAGGGCCAGAGCAACGGCATGACCACGTTCTCATTCCTCCCTCCCGCCAACGTCAAGAGCTTCAGCGGCGACGTCAACGACTTCATCAAGTGGCTGGTGGAACAGAAGCTGATGGATGGCAATCAGTACCTCACCAACTTTGCAGCGGGTATCGAGCCGTACGTCGGCGAGGGTACCTTCACCACGACCTCTTACAAGGCTAGCCTCAAGAGCAGCTCACAAACGCTGGGCGATGCTGATGCTGGTGTTGCCGGTGGCTCTACCAAGAAGGCCGCAAAGGCCCCTGGCAAGCCTAAGGGCACCGACACGACTACGACGCCCACCACGACGCCAACTGACACTACGAAAACGTCTACTGGAAACGCTGGAAGTGGCAACGCTGGTACTGGTGCGGGCAACACTGGCACTGTTACGGGCAACGCTGGCACTGGCACTGGCACTGGCACTGGCAACGCTGGCACTGGCACGGGCAACACTGGCACCGACACTAGCACCGGCAAGGGTGGCAGCACTAACACAAACACGAACGCCAACTCTGGCTCAAACTCGAACAACAACAGCCACAAGAACATCAACACCGATACCGCACCCAACAAGAAGGTCAAGCCCGACTCCACCACATCCGGCGCTCTTGGTGGCTCTAACAACCCCACGGACAAAGGTGAGACAAAGCCCAAGTCCACGACGACAGAGCCACAGTGCAAGCGGCGCGTGCACCACAAGAGAGCTCCCGAGCTCGCACGTCGATCGATGGAGCCTTGGCAAGCGACTACTGCGTCGAGGGGGCTCGTGCGTCGATCCGAGGCTGGTCCTAACCGATTGGACCGAGAGTCCGAGTGCTGATCAGAGCAACAGGTGCCCGAATGCGAACCTTTTCGGTGGTGCGATACGAGTCGCACAATTCAACGTTCCCAAGACCTTTTCGAAAACGACTTTGAAAAATCTGTACCTCGTATCTACTGAGTCGCTCGTTGACGTGAACCGAAACGATTCCCTCCCTTTCTGCATCTCAGAGAAGCTCTGGGATCAGCTCATGGGGTACCTCGACTCGATCAAGTTTGAGAAAGACCACTGATCGAAAGAAGACATCAACTCCATCATCGCTGGACGCCTCTGGATACAGGCTCTCGCGCTACTAGCTGGTCCTAGATCTTCGCACCTCTACTCCGCCTGTAGCAAGGAAGGAGCTTTTGAGAAGCCTTCCTCGGGAATTGACGTTTGTTCATCAGCTTGCGTATGACCGTGTGAGCTTCCTTGAGTCAAGTTCGTGAGTCGTCGACTTGCGCCGTCGATGTAGAAGGGACAAGCGTGGGCGGATTCAGGGCAGAACGATCTATGTCACTCATGACTCAAAGGTGGTGATTTGGGCGGGACCCCGAGCAGCGCATGCATCAAATGCACGTTGGGATCGAGTCACCTGCTTTCTGCACCTTCGAGTCACACGCGCGGGATTTTTGATGAGATTGTAATGCATCACGTGGGCGTGCGCGCGTCATCGCGGGCGAAACGCCCGCACTTTCTTTGTGGCAACCGCGCTTCACGACCCTCATTATGCACCACTACCACTACAGCGATGCGTCAGGAGACATTTTTCGGCTCTTGACTCGAACCATTCCAAGTCATGTCACAGTCCCTGAGATGCAGTGTGTGCGTGCGAGAGGGCAGATATTTAGCAAGCAAACTTATAAAGGGGGCTGCAATGGAAAGTGGCTTCGGTGGGAGGACGGGATACTTTCAGGATACTTTAACCTTTCTAAGGCAAGCCGAGCCTCAAGCGACGACCCAGAAGTAATCTCTCCGCTCAGCGTAACACCTCATGATCGAGCTCGTTGAAGCTTCCACCGCATTAGAATTGCGCGAAGGCGCGGTCGTGCTGCCCTTTGAAAGGAAGCACAAAGGGACATCGAGGTATGACGACTACATTGTACTCCTCGAGCCCCACGAGCTCGAGCATCTTCACTATCCACCAGTGCAAGACCTTCACGTGGACTCTCAAAACATTTTCTTGATCACCATGCCCGATTGGCAGGCGCACACAGTCATCTGGAATCACGCCGATTCGTGGCGAAAGGATCACGGCTTGGCGAGCAAAAGCTACCGCGCAGAGAATTCGGCCAAAGAAGCCTTGGGCCTCGTGGAGCTACTTGCTCATAAGGACACCATGGTGACCTTGCTCAAATCGGCATCACAAATTGGAGTGCGTGCGCTGGATCATCTCTTCCTTGCCTTGCATGCCACGCCGGAACGCTGTGCGGTGGTAGCAGAGCGAATGATCTTGGACTTTCCGCACTCTTTCAGGGGCTTCCTGAGAATGGCTACGGCGTTTGAAGCCTCGAATCCGAAAGTCGCATGTCTGGCCTTGGCGCAAGCGTGCAAGACGAATGCGGATCTAGTTCCCAAAGTTGCGAAAAGACTTGGCACTTTGCGTAATCAAGTGTCTTACGGACCCACGGTGACGCTTGAAGAGCTCGAGTCCATTCCGCTTTCTATTCGGGACCAACTGCTTGGAAGCTGGCCTGCGCAGCTCAATGAGGCCATGTCATCCACACTTTGGACGGCTTGCACACAGTCACGCAACCGTTCGCACTTTGGCACGTATGGCGTTCCGCGCTTCTTTTCCTGGGTCTACCCGGGACGCATAGCCGGCATGTCGACTCCACGCAACGCGCAAGATATCGACGCCCTGGTCGACATTGGTTTCGATCACGTCTTGTCGCTCGCAGCAGAGTCCCCACTAGATCCAGCCTGGTTTCGCTTCAAGGCGATCAAGCACGTCTTTGTGCCGCTGGAGAATTATGGACACCCGACGCTTGAAGAGATGGACAGCATCCTCGAGCTAATTGAGCAGAGCGGAACTTGGCTCATTCACTGTGGAGGAGGAGTGGGCCGCGCAGGCACGGTTCTTGCATGCCTGATCACGATGTTCGGTAGAGGAGACGAGGAGAAGATGGGCTTTCCTTTGCTGGATGCTGGCGATGCTATCTTGCTCCTTCGATCTATGAGGCCGAGATCACTGGAGAGCGAGAGTCAAGAACGCTTCGTGTCCGCCTATGTTTCGCATCGATGGAGGTCTGCTGGCAAAACGAGGTTGCCAGAACCCGTGTCATCACTCAGAATGGAGCGTTCTCTCAGTAGCAAAGCATCTCTGGACGATTTGTCTGTGCCGACAATCATCGTGATGGTCGGATTGCCCGGATCTGGAAAGAGCTGGCTAGCTGCAGCCATAGCGAAGCGGCGCGGAGATACGGAAATAATTAGCCAAGACACTGACGGCCGAGCAGCCTGCGAGCGATCGATGGGCATGAAGCAAAGAGACGGCGTACTCGTCATTCTTGACCGCTGCAATCCTCGGCAAGATGATCGCTCGTCGTGGCTTGCCCTGATGGTTTCTACGCGGAGGAAGATTGCAGTCTTTTTCGACGTTGACGCGGCTCTTTGCAAGCAGCGCATGGATAGGCGGCTAGGACACCCGATCATTCGCGCAGGCAGAGGGTACAACGCGCTGGATCAGATGCAACGCGACATGAGCCTACCCTCCTTATCAGAGGGCTTCGATGCGTTGTTGACCATCACCAGTATGCACGCAGCCAAAGAGGCGCTTCGAGTACTGAGTCCGAGCCCGAAGCTGCTGAAATTTCCTCGCACCCCGCACTTGTTCAACACTGGCGCTGCCACGCACGACGACCTTACGTGCGAAGACATCGGAAGCTCCATCACTGGTAACATCGTCGTGGAGGAAAAGATTGACGGAGCTAACTTGGGTCTGTCTCTCGATGCTGACGGCATCATCCGTTGCCAGAACCGAAGTCACTGGGTCAGCTCTGCGGATCACAAACAATTCAAGCCGTTGGACGCATGGATAGAAGCGCATCGCGATGCGGTGTACAAGTTACTTGCCAGAGACAGCCAATTTTTGGAACGATTCATCTTGTATGGAGAGTGGATGGTTGCCAAGCACTCCGTATACTACGACTGCCTGCCCTCGCACTTTGTCGCATTCGACCTCTACGACAGATTGACACAGCGCTTCTGTTCCAGGTCGGCGCTCGCAACAGCGTTGCGAGGAACAGCTATTGCACACGTGCCTCTTGTCTTGCAGACTTTGCACGTCACGCGAGAACATCTGCTGTCACTCTGTCAAGAGAAGAGCCTCTTCAGTACCGAAAGGCGAGAGGGCGTGTACCTGCGATTCGAGGACGACGGGCATCGATACACTATCAAGAGGGCAAAGGTGGTTCGATCGGACTTTATCGCGGGCAATGAGCACTGGTCCAAGAGCATCCTTACTCCGAACGTCATTGCCGATAGCCATGCGGTCGAAGCAGGCGATCGATGATGTGCTTTGTGGCAAGCCTTCTTACCCTTGAAACGAGGCTCCGGCACTCCTGAGCTTGCCGCCGTAGGTGTGCCGACTGTGCGGCGCACGATCACGCGGTCGCACTCAAATTCGGCGTCGAACGTGGAGGTCATGTTCCAACACAGCCAGCACATTGTATACCGGTATGGAGCCCTAAGGAAGCGACTGCTACCCTGCTTAATGGGCACCATTCATTTCGATTGATTGCGCATTCGATCAGCAAAAGCAGGCCCCATCAATCGTGAAACACAATCGTGAATTAAATCGCG